ATTCATTAAAAATAGACGTCTAAATTTTAAAGTTTTCAATTCACATACTGTGTGTGTGTGTGTGTGTGTGTGTGTGAGTGAGTGAGTGAGTGAGAGAGAGAGAACGAGCTAGAGTTATGTTGTCTTTCCTATCAAATCTCATACAGATTCTTAAGCTATGAATTTGAATTTGGAGTATAAAATAAATATCAATTGAATTAACTCTTGAAAAATATATAATGGAATTACGAGTAGAAAGACATCCAATACTTTGTTTGCATAATTAGTGTGCAGTGTTTGGCTCTTCGACTTTCAATCGACTATTATTTTCTAAGAAAATTTTCACCAAAACCTTTCAAATGTTAGCTTAATATTTGCATTCAGTTTTTCAATGCACATGACAAAATAGTTGAATTGTATTATACAAAATTTATTTATAGTATATATTATATTTTTGTATGAAAGGTTTTTTAGTGTAGGCTTTTGATGAAAATACAAATTAAATTTTTATAAAATAACATTTAAATTAAATATCGATAAAAGAGTTTATATTTGTATGACTTTTTTGTTTTCTACCAGCTCACCCACACACAAACACACAGTATGTGAATTGAAAACTTTAAAATTTAGACGTCTATTTTTAATGAATACTTAAGTATTATATGAATAGTCAAAACAGACTACACGAGTGCCGGAGTGATGAATGGATGAGCCTTTATGAGCATATCATTAGTATAATCGTTGAAATTGTAAAGTTTAGTCACAAATAATTAATTATAATAACAATCAATTGAATCACAAAAACGCTTTATAATAGGAATGTACGCAAAAAAATGCTAACAATTGAGTAATTTATCTCATATTCAATTAAAAGGCAATTATATTAAATCCATAAAAGTTGGCTTAATTGTGGGAAAAGTGCAATATTTGTGCTTATAATTTACGACTTCTCGTATGCGATAAGTTATCAGCAAGAAATCATGATTTATATTTAATGTTAAAACACTCAATAAAAAACAGCACTAAATAATCGATTTATTATTGTTTGCGTTTTTCTAACATATATATCATAAGTTTCATGCGATATCTGACAGAAAAAGTCTGTTTACGAAGATTTTCAGCAAAGGATTGGATCAGAAACTAAGGAGTTTTGTGATCCATGTGTTGATTTAATAATAAACTAAATACAGTATACTGTATACAGTACTAGCTGTATAAATATATGTTATCCAAAAAGTGTGACCAGGGTATTTATATATACTGTGTATAGTGTAAGTATATAGGACTCACCAATTTGTGCGGCGACTAGCGATGCATTTAAATCTTTGCGATTAGGATTGACTTTGAAGGTGACCTCAGCCCTGTTATCCTTATCCGGCCTGCAGTCGAGTGGTGGTCATTGAGTGACATACAAATCCCAACAAAACAAAAGCAAAAACACAGAGTAAGAGTGAGTAAATGGAGAGAGAGAGAGAGAGAGAGAGAGAGAGATGTGTATTTTGATTGAGTAGTGAAAGTAGATGGGGATTATCAGTGCTGTTCAATGATTAATCTGAGCGCCTGTACCTGACATTAGAGAACGTGCCCTTAGGGACCCGAACCAACTGTTCCAGTGTAGCGACAAATCTATCGGCCGAGCCGTCACTCTCGCCAAACCTATTCATCCATCGGTCCATCAATTATTTACGGCACACACACGTCAACGACAATACGATACCCGAGACCGACAAATGCAATCAAAAAATACAATAAAAGCCATTAAATAACTAAACAAGTGCTCGAAAATCTGCTAATTATTGTCTCTATAATCAAATAGCGTGGCAACTGTTTGATGCCAAATAAACAACTTATTAACTCACGGCTATAATAGCCAGTTCCCTATCAATGACAGACTTGTAGGACTTCATTCTCAATTCATTTGTATATAAGTGCTGCCAATTCTCTACATTAATGCACTATTTATCTATACATTGCACACAAATTCTAAGAACTTATGTATTTCTTCCAGTGTTTGTTCACTCATACAATAAACAGCAAATTATAGCATAAAAAAGTATTTTCTTAAATGCATTTTAAATAAATCATAACTCCGTCAGTCAATACAGACTTTCTATGGTATCTCGCATTTGACTTTAGAGGCATAAAATATATTCGTATGAAACACTTCATCGCCTATTACATAATACATATACAGAATATTCTGTATTATTCATTATAAATATAGCATAATATGGTTATGAGTGTAGAGAATAGGAGTGACAGAAAACGTACGGTTTGTCGACAATGACATAAGTATAGGAAGAGTCGATGGCTTCGAGTCGTGTGCGCTCGCCATCCTCTGCCGGCACGACCACCGACTCGGCGTCCATTTTGACGGGTCCTTCATCTACGGGTTTATTGACATTCTTCTTGTTCATCAACTGATTCAATGGATGGTTTCCAAGAACTTCTACAGACAATTATGAATAAGCAAACAAAGTGTTAGTAACCAGAAAGGGAGCGAAAATATTTTATTGTTTCAATTAAAGCTATTGTATTTTATTGAAAAAATAGTGACGGCTCTCGAGAATTGATAGAAAATCGTGTGTCACATATGTATTTGCATTTTGTTAATATAATTTTTAAGTTCAAACATTTATATCAAAAAGTATAGACAGTTTCGCAGTTCAAACATTCACACGGAGAGAGAGAGAGAATGATGAACATTGTCTATTTTGAATACACATGATAATATTGTAGTGCAAGTGATACTGATAGGGAACCCGTGGAAAAATAATAATTAAAATTTAAATTGAATGCACTTTATTCTTAAATATAGCATAATATGGTTATGAGTGTAGAGAATAGGAGTGACAGAAAACGTACGGTTTGTCGACAATGACATAAGTATAGGAAGAGTCGATGGCTTCGAGTCGTGTGCGCTCGCCATCCTCTGCGGGCACGACAACCGACTCGGCGTCCATTTTGACGGGTCCTTCATCTACGGGTTTATTGACATTCTTCTTGTTCATCAACTGATTCAATGGATGGTTCCCAAGAACTTCTACAGACAATTATGAATAACCAAACAAAGTGTTAGTAACCGGAAAGGGAGTGAAAATATTTTATTGTTTCAATTAAAGCTATTGTATTTTATTGAAAAAATAGTGAAGGCTCTCGAGAATTGATAGAAAATCGTGTGTCACATATGTATTTGCATTTTGTTAATATAATTTTTAAGTTCAAACATTTATATCGAAAAGTATAGACAGTTTCGCAGTTCAAACATTCACACGGAGAGAGAGAGAGAGAGAGAGAGAGAGAGAGAGAGAGAGTACAGTATATCTCTGCGGGGCTTAAAATTTATATTATATAAATCGATTTTAACCCAAAGCTAAGGGAATGAGAGACATATAGATATACCGGTATATCCTGTATATATATATATCTATGCTCTACAGTATGTATATGTAATATAATTATATACGAGTCTTTCGCTATAACAGTTAAATCAAGAATGAGAGTAACATATTCTGTATAGATATGTGTGAATTATGGTAACAATACCACCAGCACTGGTATGTCACACGAGTGGGCTCCGTGTCTGTCTGTCTGTGAATGTATTATGTCAGCGGCGGAGGTCTGATGTTTAAGAAATAAATTGAATCAAAATATACAATACGAGTAGATATGACACTACATTAGCGGCAAAATTGTCACCTAATATAATCAGACAATTCATCAGGAATAAAGTGCATTCAATTTAAATTTTAATTATTATTTTTCCACGGGTTCCCTATCAGTATCACTTGCACTACAATATTATCATGTGTATTCAAAATAGACAATGTTCATCATTCTCTCTCTCTCTCACTCTCTCTCTCTCTCTCTCCTATTTATGTTCATTCTTCATAATATAAACTTAAATTATAAGAAATACTTTTTGTTACATAACTTACAATTATACAATAGATTTATATACTGTAACTATATATATGTATAACTTACTGTATTGTGTATTGCTCAACAATTAATAAACATAAATAGGCTCTATGTATTCTGAATTTATGAATTTATAATATAGTAAAAGTCCTTAAAATTAGAACAAGAATAGCACTTCACTTATAATAATACTAATGAGTATTTTTCAAAAATAATTCTTAACAATGTTTTGTATAAATGTATTTAAATACCTTTCTGTCCGGCTGTCTTTTCATTTAATGGCCGATGGATTAGATCCTTGAGTTCTGATTCATCGCCTAATTAAAAACAAATTCAAATTATTGTCTGATATTTACTAGTTATTTATAAGTCTGCCACTATTGTATTGTATTCACAGTTTGCTATACAGTGTTAGAATTATAGCAATATATAAATCATATAAATTGTTGTCATACATGTGTTTGTATTAAGCTAACATCATTTGAATTCCTATTATCACTGTTTTATTCAAAATTAGTAATAAATCTATTAATTATTTCAAAATAAACAATTAAAATAGGTTAATGAATGTCTCCAATTAAACACTAATTATTAACTACTTATCACAATATGTATTCATTATTTAACATGTAATATTAATTATAACTTTATAATTCACATTGCTAAATAATGTTCAAATAATAAAATCAATGCCTATAAAGTTTAATTGACTGCTAAATAAGAATTTCAATAACATCTATATATACGGTGTATAAAACATAAATTCAAAAAACATTTTGTTTAACAAAATGTTTGAAATCAGATTCTGGTCTGATATAACCCGTGACATAATTTCCGCAATTCTCTCATCAAAAATACATTTGAATTCAGAACTAATTTCCTCCACAAAAAATACACAA